AAGTGAGCGAGGAGAAGAGCTGCACAGAGACGCAGAGACGGAGGCCGAGCAGGCGAGCGCCGAGCGAGGGACGAGACAAGGCAGGGCGAGAGACAAGAGGGCGGTGCTTGAGTTAATCCCGCCAACGAGCGTAAGTGATGCGTCAGAGTGAGTCCCGGGTGGCCGCCTTGCTGGTGCCACCGCTGCGCCGCCTGGCACTCCTTGATGATGCCTCGCCCTGCCTCCTCACCAGTGCCTTAAATATTGTCACCGATCCCGCGGCTTTGTCTCCGTCCGAGCCCTCCCCCTTGCCCTGCTGCGCCCTGGCGTCCGTCCTCGTAGGGTGTGACAGGCTGGGAGAGCGTCGAGGAGGCCGCGTGTTATCGTCGTGTTATCATGCAAGGGGGCGGCTGGGGGGCAAGTGATGGTGGGCGGCAGGTTGTTACCAGCAGTGTTGGCTTACTGTGGGTGGGGAGGTGGCCCTCAGTGTCGTCACGGCCCGCCAGTGTACACACGACTCTACTCACCGCAGCAGCGTCGTCACGGACTGCACCCGTGCCGTGACATAGGCTCGTGCTGTGCTTTTGTGGCGTGACCCTGCGGTGCTACGTGGTCGTGCCCGGATCTCATTGTGTTGTGTGCCTATGCTATGGCGTGTGTGGGGTAAGCTCGGTCGGGCCAGCAACCAGTACCACCGGTCCTGTGGGAATGTGTGCCATATCCTGCTGGCTCCTTGCGCCCGCGTCCACACGGCCACTTTGCACTCTGTCTCTTGCGTTGAACTAGTGAACAACTTGTGAACATGCGTCGAGTTTTTCTTGTGATAAAATCTCCTCCAGAGGTTTCTGTCGGCAAGTATGATCTTGCTAAGTGTGTGTGAAGTCGCAGGAGTAGTTTTGGTGTCTTAAACTCTTCAACCACGAGTTAAAATGAGTAGCGCGCGTGCAAATATACGTGCACGGGCGGCAAGGGCCTGCACCGTGCTAGCCGAGGCAGGCGAGCGTACCTATGGGCGTGTTGCGGGCGCGACGAGGGCGCCCTTCAGCACTGCGGCGGCAAATTTACGTCTGCTCAGCAAAATCCATGTAAAGTTACCCCGACCTACCCTCTCAGGGGCCAAGAAGCGGTCGCCGCCCGTGGGTGCGGAACAGCCACAGGCGCCCACGCCCACCACCAGCGCTGACCTCGCCCCCACGCCCGTGCCTGGCTCTCGTCCCAGCCGCCTGACCGGAGCCCAGCTGATGTCAAGGGGCCGCAGTGCCCTCAGGGGCGGACTGAGGGCGGCAGCGAAGGCGGCAAGGAAGCCGCCAAGGGCGGCCCTTGGGGTGGTGCGGGCGGTGGCGCGCCGGAAAAAGGGCGAACCTTCGGCCCAACAGGATTCTCCAGGAGAGCCTTCGTCCAGCACGGTGAGCATTACGCTTTCTCGACCTGCTTGTGTCGCCCTCTCGACACGTTAAATGCGCTTCCTTCAATGGCCGACGCGATGCACATGTCTGAGGCGCAGTTGGTGCCGAGACCCGCCGTGGGATTGCACTTGGCCCACGTAAACACCCTCCCTGGAGTCCTTCTGCTCCGCCTTGTGCGCCGTCTCAACTCTCTCTCTCTCTCTCTCATCTCTCTCTCTTCTCATCTCTCTCTCTCTCTCTCTCTCTCTCTCTCTCTCTCTCTCTCTCTCTCTCTCTCTCTCTCTTCCGTCTCCCTCCCTCGCTCCCTCCCTCCTTTCCCTCTGCCTCTCTTTCCCTCCTCCCCCTTCTCTCTCTCTCATCTTCTCTCTCTCTCTCTCTCTCTCTCTCTCTCTCTCTCTCTTCTCTCTCTCATCTCTCTCTCTCTCTCCCATCTCTCTCCCTCTCTCCCCCTCTCTCTCCCTTTCCTCCCCTTTCTTCCTCCCTCCCTCCTCCCTCCGCTCCCTCCCCTCCCCCTCCTCTCTTTCCCTCCTCCCCCCCTCACCCCTCTAGCCTCTCTCTCTTATCCCATCCCCTCCTTCCCCCCCCTCCTCTAACTCTCTCTTTCCCTCCCTCCCCTCTCTCTCTCACTCTCATCTCTCGTCTTCTCCTCTCTCTCTCTCATCCCTCCTCCCTCCTCCTCCCTCCCTCTCCCTCCCACTCTCCTCTCCCTCTCCTCTCACCTCTCTCCCTCCCTCCTCACCCCTCCACTCCCCTCCCTCCCTACGCCTTCCCACTCTCCTCTCTCTTTTCCCCCCCGCCCCATTTTCCCCTCTCATCATCTATTCCCTCCCTCACCCCCTCCTTCTCCAAGTCATCAGTCTCTTCGATCATCCTCTCATCTTTAAGTCTCTTCTCCTCTCTCTCTCTCATCACTTCTTCCCTACTCCTCTATCTCTCTCTCATCTCTCTCATCTCTCCCATCTCATCCCTCTCTCTCTCTCTCCTCTCAAGCTCATCATCACCTCTCTCATCTTCCATCTCTGCTCTCTCATCATCCTCCTCATCTCAGTCTACTCCTTCTCCTCTCTCTCTCTCCCCTCCGGTATCTCTCCCCTCCTCTCTCTCTCTCTCCCCCTCTCCTCTTCTCCTCCCCTCTCCTCTCTCCCCTCTCTCCTCTCTCCCCCCTCCTCGTTTCGCCACTCCCCTCTCATCTCCGCTCCCCCTGCCCTCTCTCTCCACCCCTCTCCCTCCCATTAACCTCTCACTTTCCCTCCTCCCTTTCTCTCGTCCTCTCTCTCATCTCCTACCGCATCTCTCTCTCCTCCTCCATCTCATCATCATCATCTTCTCTCTCTCTCTCTCAATCCTCCTTCCTCTCTCTCATCTCATCTCTCTCTCTCTCACTCTCCATCATCACTCTCATCTCTGTCCCCTGGTCCTTCTCTCTCCATCTACCTATCTCCTCTCTCATCTTCGCTCTCCATCCATCCCTCCATCCTCTCTCGTCTCCTCTCTACACCTGTCTCTTCTCTCTCTCTCTCTCCTCTCTTCTCTCTCCCCTCCTTCTCTCTCCTCCCCCTCTCTCTCCTCTCCCCTCTTCTCTCTCTCTCTCTCTGAAAATTCTTTTCCCACCCTCATCCTCTTCTCGTCTCGCTCTCTTTCCTCCTCGACCCTCCCACCCTCTCTCACTCTCCTCACTCCACTCTCTCATCTCAGTATATACTCACCTCTCATCCCATCCATCTCTCATCTCTCCTCTCTCATCCTCTCTCTCGTCTCTCTACTCTCTCCCTCTCATCTTCTCTTCCCTCTTTTTTCCTCCTCCCCCCTCTCCCCTCAGCCCCCTTTTCCCCCCTCCCTTTCTCTACTCTATCTCTATCTATCAATATCTAATCTATCTATTTCCCTGCGCGCCCTCCCTCTCTACCTATCATCATATTATCAATCAAATCAAGTCAAAATAATCATAATCCTCCCTCTCTCTCTCTATAGTATATATATATATGTATCATAATCTATCTACTATCTCCTCCCCCCCCCTTGACTCCCCGATTCTCTCCTCTTCTCCTCTCTCTCTCTCGCTTCATCATCCGCCTCTACCTCTTCTTCTCACTCTCTCTCTTCTTCTTCTCTCTCTCTCCCCCCTCTCCTCCTCATCTCTCTCACTCACTCACTCACTCACCACAGTTCACGTCACTCACTTCACTCACTTCCTCCCCCCCCTTTCCCTCCCTCTCTCCCCGCTCCCCTGTCTTTTCCTCCTTCCCTAGATATGAACATATTGGCTTGAAGATGCTGAATGCAGCATGACCACATCCAGCATCCTAAACCCACAGGGCCCGAGCCCCGAGCCTCAGCATCATGGGCTCAGGCGGCCGTGCCACTCGCATCCTGGGGAGGCCGTCGTAAATCAGCGATCGAATGAGTAGCATGCAGCAATCGCAATCCGCGAAGCCACAGCATTCGAGGGATTTTGCAACGGGGCTTAAGACACAGACGAGTATTATGACACAAGTGCCCTTAGTGTTGCTCCGGGTTGCAGCTCGAGGGGCAGGAGGAGGAGGGAGGAAGGAGGGGGGAGGAAGGGGAGAGGGGAGAGGAGAGAGGAGGAGAGGGGGGGAGAGGAGGGGAGGGATGGAGAAGGAAGAAAGGGGGATGGGGGGGGGGCAGGAGGAGGAGAAGGGGAGAGGAGGGGAGGGATGGAGAAGGAAGAGGGGGAGGGTGGGCAGAAGAGGAGATGGGGAGAGGAAGGGAGGAATGGAGAAGGGAGAGGGGGTGGGGGCAGGAGGGAGGAGAGGAGGAGGAAGAGTTGAGTGGAGGGGAGAGAAGGAATAGAAGGATAAGGGGAGAAGGAAGAGGAGGAGGAGGGAGGGGGGATTGGGAGATGGTAGTAGAGGGAAGAGGGACAGGGGGATGGAGAGGAAGAAAAAGTCGAGTTGAGAAGTTATACGAATGAGAAGGAGGATGTGGAAAGGGGGAGGAAGGAAAAAAAGAAAAGGAGACAGTGGAAAATGGATAGGAGGAGAGAAAGAGAGAGAGAGAAAGGGTCGGAGAGTAAACGCAAGGTATAAGGACAGAGGAGTGGGAAGTGCAGGGTCGTCAAGCGATTGTAAGGGTATAGCTTACAATCTTGTGGGTATAGCTCTAAGTGCGAGTGCGAATGGTGTTTTGTGTGTGCGGCAGTAGGAAATCGAGAGAGAGAGAGAAAGTGAGTGTGAGAGCAAGTGTGTGTGTGTGTGTGTGTGTGTGTGTGTGTGTGTGTGTTGTGTGTGTGTGTGTGTGGTGTGTGTGTGTGTGTGTGTGTGTGTGTGTGTGTGTGTGTGTGTGTGAAAGTGTGAAAGTGTGAAAGTGTGTGTGTGTGTGTGAAAGTGTGAAAGAGAGAGAGAGAAGAGAGAGAGAGAGAGAGAGAGAGTGTGTGGTTGTGTTGTGTGTGTGTGTGTGTGGTGGTGTGTGTGTGTGTGTGTGTGTGTGTGTGTGTGGTGTGTACCGTGAAGAGGGGGGGAGATGGGAGAGAGCGAATGAATTGATGAATGAAGCAAATAAGAAACAAAGAAAAAGGCCCATAAAGAGGAGAGAGGAATAATGAGAGAAGAAAAGTAGTGAAGGGAAGGGAAAAGAAAGAGAGCGGAGAGGAGTGGAGGGCAAGAAAATGTAGGGAAGAGAAAGAACATAAAGCAAAGAAAAAAATCTAAATGAATAATACAGAGGCGATAGAGGGCGAAGCAAGCCAGCAATAAAGACGGTGAACTGCGAAGACAGAAATAAAAAGAGACTGAGCCGCGACAGAATCAGCGACAAAACAAGGCAGAAATAGAAAGATAAGTGGAAATAGAGAGAAGGGCAGAAGGGGGCGAGAGAACGCCAGAGAGCAAAGAGGGCGTTTATATTTAGCAAGTGTCTTAAGTGGTGTCGCAGAAGATAATGAAGGAGATATTAAAGGAGGAGAGGACGGCCCTCGTCATCCCTGGCTTGAGGTGGCGCGTGTTGAAATCCGTTCAGGAGGACGAATCCGCTTTATTGGGGCTCGCTTCTCTCTAGTTCGGGGGGGGGGGGGGGGCACGGAGATTCTGCTCTCCGATTTGCATTTGTCGCGGATAAACGAAAACAAAGGCTCGGATTGCCCTCGGAATTAAACGGTGTATTTTAGTCGCTGGTCACTTTTGGAGCCTCAGTCTTAACCATTGTCTGTTGTGGAGGGAACATGATCCGACGGCCTCCGTGGCCACCAATCGCCTGCGTGGTGGCAGCTTCCTCAACACCCTCACTCATCTCATAGTGATGGCCTTCACGCCACTCCTCGGTTACCCTTCTCCACTCCACGGTGCCACCTCACTCCAGTGCACGGTGCCACCTCACTCCACTCCATGGTTTCACCTCACTCCACTCCATGGGGCCATCTTACTCTATACTCCATAGAGCAACCTCCCTCTACTCCACATACTCCTTCAGTTAATAGTGCCACCTCTCTACTTCATGGTGCCACCCCACTCCATGGTGCCACCTCACTCCATGGTGCCATCCCACTCCATGGTGCCACCTCACTCCATGGTGCCATCCACCTCACTCCATGGTGCCACCTCACTCCATGGTGCCACCTCACTCCATGGTGCCACCCCACTCCATGGTGGGCACCTCACTCCATGGTGCCACCCCAACTCATGTGCCACCTCACTCCATGGTGCCACCTCAGCTCCACCTATGGTCCACCCCACTCATGGTGCCACCCCACTCCATGGTGCCACCACCTCCATTGGTGCCACCTCCACTCCATGGTGCCACCATCACTCACTCATTGGGCGACACTCACGGTGTACTCCACTGTGCCATATCAGTCCACTATACACTGGCACTCCACGCGGCCCTCATCGCGACGCTCCGAACTCTCTCGCCCCCAGGGCAGGGGTTCGCCCCTGCTGCTCGAGCCACAGGAGGCCATTCGCAGCCTTCGCTTTCTGTATACCCCTCCTCCCTCCCTCTCCCTCTTTCTCTTTCTCTTTCTCTTTCTCTTTCTCTCTCTCTTTCTCTTCTCTCTTTCTCTTTCTCTTTCTCTTTCTCTCTCTCTCTCTCTCTCTCTCTCTCTCTCTCTCTCTCTCTCTCTCTCTCTTCTCCTCTCTCTCTCTCTCTCTCTCTCTCTTCTCTCTCTCTCTCTTTCCACTCCCTTCTCTCTCTCTCTCCGTCTTTCCCGTTATCCATCCTATCACCTCCCTCTTCCTCCTTCGACCCCTCCCATCTCCTCTTCCTTTCCCAGGTACCCGTCTTCATTCTCCCCAGTTCCCTCCGTGTTCCCATTCTGCTAATTGCTCCTCTCCTCCTCCTTCTTCTTCTCTTCCTCCTCCTCATTCTCCTCCCCCTCCTCTTCTTCCTTCTTCTTCTTCCTCTTCTTCCTTCTTCTTCTTCTTCTTCTTCTTCTTCTTCTTCTTCTTCTTCTTCTTCTCTTCTCTTCTTCTTCTTCTTCTTCTTCCTTCTTCTTCTTCTCTTCTTCTTCTTCTTTCTTCTTCTTCTTCTTCTTCGTCTTCTTTCTTCTTCTTCTTCTTCTTCTTCTTCTTCTTCTTCTTCTTCTTCTTCTTCTTCTTCTTCTTCTTCTTCTTCTTCTCTTCTCCTCCCTCCTCCCTTCCTCCTTCCTCCTCCTCCTCCTCTCCTCCTCCTCCTCCTCCTTCGTCGCCAGTTTCCACTCCCATCTATCCCTTAATTGCCACATTTCTCATCGTCCCTCCCTCACCGGCGTTCGTTTGTCTCTGTTATCTCGAGGATTCTTGCAACATATATTTCGCCGCAAATATTGATATTAAAATCGACCAGGGATCTTTTTCTTAACGGTTGGCCAATGACCACATTTGCGAAAATAGACTTGAGATGTTAGAGGTAATTTCCTTCGCATTGTTGTCTCTGATTTGGACCCACATAATATCCCTTTCCCAGTCAGTATTTTTTTTTTCCTTTTCTTTCCTTTGCTGGAACTAGCGAATTTCACTTGGAATTCCGTCGGGGTGGGTTTCCTCGGACCACTTTCGCTGTAATTCGCTAGTCATGTCTCTGCTTAAGAAAAAAAAAATTGGGTGAAAAAGGGAGAAGGAAAAATATTCAGTACACTCTTCCTCGTAGATAATTCGATCACTGGAACAGAGGCGTGCTGATTCGCATTCCCTTTTATATTTCTTTGTTTGCTCTCTCTCTCTCTCTCTCTCTCTCTCTCTCTTCTCTCTCTCTCTCTCTCTCTCTCTCTCTCTCTCTCTCTCTCTCTCTCCTCTCTCTCTCTCTTCTCTTCTCTTTCTTTCTTTCTTTCTTTCTTTCTTTCTTTCTTTCTTTCTTTTTCTTTCTCTCTCTCTCTCTCTCTCTCTCTCTCTCTCTCTCTCTCTCTCTCTCTCTCTCTCTCTCTCTCTCTCTCTCTCTCTCTCTCTCTCTCTCTCTCTCTCTCTCTCTCTCTCTCTCCCTCTCCCTCTCCTCTCTCTCTCTCTCTCTCTCTCTCTCTCTCTCTCTCTCTCTCTCTCTCCCTCTCTCTCTCTCTCTCTCCTCTCTCTCTCCCCTCTCTCCTCTCCCCTCTCTCCCTCCCTCTAACTTTTCTGTAGGGTCAAATCCTTGTAGAGTCCGTGCTTGGCCGATTCATTCGAGATTGGTTAATGGGAGCTAAAAGCAGTTGTGTGTCGAGCTGTACCAGGCGGACGATTGTTTTGCCGCGAGAGAGCGTGGGTGCGAGGATGTCCACCTGAAAGTTGAATGGAGACGAGCGCACCTGCCGTGCACAACCAGCGCCGCCATTCAACTTGCACGACTCTGCCGCTCCTGCCCTGGTGTTGTCAGGACCTTTCGAGTCCTCCGCGCCTTCTGGGGGCCTGCCTTTCAGGGTTCCATGCTGTCTCTATTTCGCATTCTCTTTTCCTCCATTCGCGTTTCTCGTTTCTCGTGGCTCTTGTTTTTCTGTCTGCTCTTTTCTCCCTTCTCTTTCCGTATTTCTTTTTTCACTTCTCTCTGCCACTTGAATATCTCTTTTTTTGTCTTGGGAAATTAGATCTCCCTTTCGTGTTTTCATAAATCGCTTGGTATGGAAGAAGCTCTTAAAAAACGGATTGAGGTCTCTGCCAGACAGCCAGTCCTAAGCGAGCGGCGAGGCATTCGCTCCCCCCTCGCCCATTTCCTGCCGACCCCCTCCCCCTTCCACCTGACCCCCTGACCCCCTGAACCCCCTTCCCCCTCGCCTTCCCGTAAGATATTTGTTTCCGGAAGCGGCGTGCTCTCAACGCCTCGGCGAGATGCGCTTTGACGGCGTGCTTGGCGCCCGAGCGGCAGCGCTGCCTTGACTGCCGTTTCTCATCTTTCTCTTTCTCTCTCTCTCTCTGAAATTATTTTGCCTATTGGTATAATTTTTCCTATTTTTACATTTTCGTTGCCTTTTCTTTATTTGCGTTCTCTTTGTCTTTCCTTCCTTTTCCTTTCCTCCTCCTCCTCCTCTCCTCCTCCTCCTCCTCCTCCTCCTCCTCCTCCTCCTCCCTCCTCCCCTCCATTCCTCCTCCTCCATTCCTCCTCCGCCTCCTCCATTCCTCCTCCTCCTCCTTCCTCCTCCTCCTCCTCCTCCTCCTCCTTCCTCCCTCCTCCTCCTCCTCCCTCCACTCCTCCTGTGCTACTCTTGCTCCTCTGCCACTCCTCCTCCTCCTCATTCATTCCTCCTCCTCTTCTCCCCTTCTCTTCTTCTCCTCCCCTCTTCCTCTCTTCCCTTCTTCTTCTCTTCCTCTCGTCCTCTCCTTCTTCCTTTCGTTTTCCTTCTTCTCCTTCTCATTTTTCTCCCTCCTCCTTTCATTTTATTTAGTATTTTTATCTTACCCTTTCCCTCGTATCTCTTCTCCACCTCCGGCTCTCTCTTCTCCCTTCGCTCCCTCTGTCTCTCCTCGTCCCCTTGTTCTCCTCTCGGTGGTAGTAATGCCATGCAGTTTAGAATGTTCTCGGAGTCTCGTAAGTTAAGTCTGAGATGGGAGGCGTGGAGGAAGGGGAAGGGGGAGAAGGGGGAGAGAGGTTGAGGTCAAGGCCAGATTTGATCTAGCTAAATAATGTTTTAAGTGAGATTCTAATAAAGAGACATACATATAGACGAGCAGTGGGGGGGGGGGAGGAGGGGGAAGAGAGAAAGGAGAGAGAGAGAGAGAAAGGGAGAGAGGAGGGGAAGAGAGAAAGGGAGAGAGGAAGGGAGAAAGGGAGAGAAGGGAGGAGGGAAAGAGAAGAGGGAAGGGGGAGGGAAAGAGAGAGAGAGAGAAGGGGGAGAAAGAGAGAGAGAGAGAAGGGGAGAGAGAGAGAGAGAGAAGAGGGAGGGAAAAGAGAGAGTGAGAAGAGGAAGGGAAAAAGGAGAAGAGAGAGAAGGGGGAAGGAAAAGAGAGAGAGAGAGAGAGAGGGGAGGAGAGAGAGAGGGGGGAAGGAGAGAGAAGAGAGGGGGGGAAGGAGAGAGAGAGAGAGGAAGAGAGAGAGAGGGAAGAGAGAGAGAAGAGAAGAGAGAGAGAGAGAGAAGGGGGAGGGAAGAGAGAGATAGAGAATAGGGAAGGAAGGAGACTGAGAGGGAGAGAGGGCAAGAGAAGGAGAGAGAGAGGGGGAGAAGGAGAGAGGGAGAGAGAGAGAGAGAGAGAGGGAAAGAGGGGGGAGGGGAAGGAGGGAGG